GCGGGGTGGGAAGTGCAGGGAAGTGGCGGGACAGTTCAAGAAGTTTTTTTTTATTGTTCAAAGGGCTTAAAACTACAGGATTTATTTACACTGTCAGTAGTGTTCTAGTAACTTAATCTAAGTATTTAGGGGTGGGTGGGGTAAAACGGACACTTTAAACTTTTTTAAAATTATTCATAACTCAGAAACAAATTGATCAATTGAGCTCAGTTTAGGCTCGTCGCAAAGGGAAAGAATTGTTCTTTGTGTTGAAAGAAAAATTATTCAATTTTATCAACATTTCAACCCCTCATTAACATTTAAAAAAAAGTCAGAAGTGTCCGTTTTACCCCAACCTACACTTCTTACAATCTTCGATTTTAGATATTTAATGTAGGGGTGGTTGGGGCAAAACGGACACTTGGCTTTTTGTGAAATGTTAATGAGGGGTTGAAATGTTGATAAAATTTAAGAATTTTTTTTCAATACAAAGAACAATTCTTTACCTTTGTGACGAGCCTAAACTGAGCTCAATTGATCAATTTGTTTCTGAGTTATGAATAATTTTAAAAAAGTCTAAAGTGCCCGTTTTACCCCACCCTCCTCTGCTACTTATGATTAATTTGTAGGGTATTTTGAGGATTTTTGGATCTGCTGTTTTCAATAAGGGGGTGATTGAGTTCGTAAGAGGAACTTTAAGTTCAGTAGCGAAGTGGTAAAGCGGTTTAAGTCGACTTTTCTCCTACTTGAGTTTTTCAGGAATATTTCCGAATCTAAGGAAGATAGCGAAATTGTTGTTACAACCTTTTTTGTAGAGCCGATTGAGAGCTACAATAAATGTAATTACGAAAATTTCGCTATCTCTCTTAGATTCGAAAATATTCCTCAAAAACTCAACTAGGAGATACGTCGACTTAAACTGTTTTACCACTTCGCTACTGAATTATTTCAATTCTATTTCAATTGTGCTCACTTGACCCTATAATTGGCCTCTGCGCTGTTGCCTCTGTATACAGCAATAACTAAAAATAAATAATAAAATAAATCAATAAAATGAATAAATGAAATGAATAAATAAATATTTTTAGTGGAAATCAATAAACTGTAATATTTATTAATGATATGAAGAAAATTCATTGTAAATAAATCTTTTATTTGCATTAAATGAATTATTCATTCATTTGAGCAACGCGCATTAAGAAGCGATGAGTAGGACAGATTCAAGCGGAAGCCAACGTATTTTTTTATTGCATTTCTTGTTGTATTTATTTCGAGGGAATAATGTGATTATACGAAAGAAGTAATTTATTCGTTTCACATAAATCTTCTAGTAGTATTAAATGAAGGATAATTACCTGTGAATAAATCCTTCATTTTGGTGGAGGAAACATTTATTTATATCGCAAAAACGACTTATTCGATGCAAATTTAAATATAAGAAAAACGCTAGTTTAAATTTGGGCGAAAGCTTTACTCGATAATTTTCCATTCATTTCAACAATATTTCTATTGGAGATTAAAAAACTCAAATATTTATTCCAATGAAAATGTTCTAATGACATGAAATAAATGATTTAGTCGTTTCAAATAAATCCTCTGGTCGAATCAAACAAATTATGCATTTGTTTTAGAATTGTATTAAATTAAACAATCATATAAATAATATCAATATTATTAATTGAATTATAATATTGCTGCTTCGCATTTAGATTTGAAGCATTAAAATATAATTGTTATTAATAAAAGTACGATTCTCCAGACTCGAATTCAGAGGGTCAAAATAAACATAGAATCCAGTGAATAAATGTTCTCGATCTTAAATTATACACAAAACCCACTCATCTTACGAACGCTCTGAATGCCCGCAAGGGCTTACGTAACAGACATCAGTGAAAGAGTTCCAGGACTTAAAGAGAAAAAATTGCAATCTCAAAGTTTCTAAAGTTGGTCCAGGCGGGGGTGTATCACGTGTATTCCCATTGGTCGGGTTTGTTACGTGACTGGTGTCTGTGCCACGTGCCATTGTTCATCATCCTCCCTTACATAACGCAAGCGATACCCGGGAGGATTGATGCATTGGGTTTAACAGTATTCTCAAAGGTAAATTGGAAAGCGATAGGGGATTATTCATATTGTCCCCGCCACAGTATTTATCCTCTTATTACCAGTTTAATGAATGTTTATGTAACAGTGAAACTTGACTATTGAAAATGGAGCCTTTTGAAAATAATATGCGGAAAACAAAGCAGGAAAAAACATCACAGAAAAACCTATCGAATTCTATACAAAACCCGCCACAGTATTTATCCTCTTATTACCAGTTTAATGAATGTTTATGCAACAGTGAAACTTGACTATTGAAAATGGAGCCTTTTGAAAATAATATGCGGAAAACAAGACAAGAAAAAACATCACAGAAAAACCTATCGAATTCTATACAAAAAAATTGGCAATTGATAGGGCTCAACAATATCTACATTTGAAAGATTCAATTCTATCCAGTCATGAGCGAACAATTGAAAAAAAAAGCGCAGATAAGCTGCCGAATTCTTCAAAAGAATTGACCAAAAGCTAGTAGAAAGTTCATTAGAAATTTGATAGAATTCGTAGGTAAATGTTTCACGTTCATATTCATGGAAATTCGTTTAGAATTGTTATACTTTTCTTAAGAGATCTGGTGGGAAAAATTTTCATCGAATATTCTGTTATGCAAGTCAGTGGTTACACACCCTGAAACTTGGCCAAACTCATTGTTTGCAATCTAGTATTGCATTCAGCGGAAAGTTTTGAGTTTGAGTAAACGTTGATCTTGGCTCCTTATTTCATCGGGAGTGTTACGTGCCTGAGGAAATCATATAACACAATCGAGTGTGGGAATTTCCAGATATCTCCATACAATATTCCGCTCTTCATAATTTTACTTGATTTCTGTTGGACTTCTACAGAAAATTCTACCAATTTTCCCCAGATTCTACTGAAAATTTTCGCATTATTATTCCACATTGTTCTATTCATATTATTTAATTCATAAAAGACTAAATTTTACAGTTGCCCATTGTAACTTGTATCAAACCCTGATCACAGGAGAGTTCTTTAATGAAATTGCTAAAACTCCTCGTTCACAATTTACTCAAGTATTCATTAAAACTCTTTAACTCGGCAATCCACATCAACTGCTGAGGAATTAAAAAGTTGACTGGTGGTATATACCCCACATTACATGAAAAGTTACTGACCGAAAATGTGAATTGCATGCCTCCCACTTCAAACGTGTGTTTCAGTAATAAAATATCTCAGCTCCTATTGGGATACTCCGCGAGCAAACGGTCAGTGGAGGGGGCAAATGGCGACAAAAAAATTCAATAACTGGTAAAAAAAAATTATGCATTTTATGCCATTTATGAAATTACACAACAAATGTAATTACATTTATGTGTATTACATTTCTCTAAATTCTAATTAATAATCTGATATAACAATATCAATAAAAAATTAAAATAAAAATAAAAAATGAAAGAATGTTATTATCCTCGCTTTCGGCTCGGATTATACATTCACATGTGTCAGAATAGTATTTTTTGTTACTAGTCCGTAAAGTTCCACTTTTTCCCCCGCAAGTGTTACAGATCCTATTTTTCATACCTACTGCGTTCACTGTTCGGAATGGTAGTGGGGGTGAAATGGTTGTTTTTGTACACGAGTGCGTAAAGTTCGAGAGCGTGCGTAAAGTGACTTTCGAGGACGTAAAGCGAAGCTTTACGTACGAGAATTGATTTTGCGTATGCTTTATACACTCTAAACCGCTCCGAAAAGTGCACTTTTCATTCGCAAGATTATTTACTTTACCCACGACTTCTGAACTTTACGCACGTCATGCGGAAAACAAACACTTTACGCACGCTACACTTTCCGCACGCTGCGCGCCACGAAATTGGCGTTTTTCAGGTCCCTCGACCCGAAATAGTATATTTCGTAACGAGTGCAAAAAAGTGTTTTTTGGCGAGTGGAAGGTTTATATCACGAAATTCGTTACGCTGTGACGAAAAGTGAACTTTTCGGCACGCACCGCGTGCATAAAAGTCCAATTTCCGCCACATTGTGATGAAAAATATTGCTCGTAACTCGTGAAAAAATGTTTTTTAGCTCGTGGGATTATATCCCTCGCCTTCGGCTCGTATAAACCTCCCACTCGCCAAAAAACACTTTTTTGCCCTCGTTACCAAATATACTATTTCACGAGTTACGAACAATATTTTTCATCACAATGTGGCGGAAATTGGACTTTTATGCACGCGGTGCGTGCAACATGCAGAAGGATGAATTTGTTTGAATTGAAAATTAATATACACACCTCGCCATGGACATATCAACATATCAACCTCCCCCAGGTGCTTGCCACGTGCCTGCACGTGGGGAACAGTGACCTGTTTTCCAAGGCTCGGACATGTAATGTACTATTACAAACTATTACTCAAAAAGAGTAGGAGATTAGGAGAAATATGAGTTTATAATCCCAACCGAAGGCGAGAAAATACTTTGTTGACCTAACGACGAAATCTCCTACTTATTCCTCAATTCCATTAGTCATTTCCCCTCCAACACACGGATACACAGCTCCTATGCTATACCGTTCCGTTGTAAAGTTGAATCCCTCTGCTTTGCCCGAATTCTTAGCTCTCGTTTTTTACCATCGGACTACTTCTTTCATATGGGACCTTTGAAGACTCTCTTTGAATTAATTCATTCATCGATTCGTACATTGAAAGCTCGTAACGCGAAAACTAGTCTACCGTACAAGTCTGAGAATATTGTAACATTTTGAAAAGAAATTCCTTAAAGTATGAAAATAGGATATATATATATTCGATCAATGCATAATACGTTTCAGACGATATTATTGATACTTTTCAGGATAAAAATGCAGGAAAACTTGACAAATTTTTTACTCAAAGAATTTATGATTTCATACAGACGAAAATTACGAATGCAAAAATTGAATAAAATACTAACAATACTAATACTAATAATAATACTAATAATACTAATAATAATAATAATAATAATAATAATAATAATAATAATAATAATAATAATAATAATAATAATAATAATAATAATAATAAGAAATAATAAATAATAATAATAAATAGTAATAATATTAATATCAAATAAAATTATGTCAAGATTATTCATTAAAATATAACATTGTTACTTCATACTTAGATTTGACCGAGTGGAAGTACAATTATTATGAATAAATATAGTGCGATTCGAGGAAACGGAATGGGAAGGGTCTTGGAGCATGTAATAAATGCTGCCTCGCTTCAAAAAACACAGAAAACTTATTCCACACGACGTTCTTGGACTTCGTTGTATTGTCTGAGATACTTTTCTTGATATTTTGGTCCACAACCACTAGAGAATCTCGACACTTTACCGTTATCCATATTCTGAAAATTACCCCTAAGTGACGTACGAAAAAACTTCATGGAAAAACCTAGCGAATTGGCAACAAAATTTTATTGGATTTCTGAACTCTCTATTAGTTTTTACGGATTCTGGGGATGTGAGCGGATTGAGAGTAGGGTTTAATTTTTTGTGCGCGAGAGATGGAGTGATTTTAGGAATTTGAGCAGCGTAACCAGAGCAGTGGGTAGACACCGACCAAAAGATAGACGATTTCAACTTTTTTTTAGTATTCTATAAAAAATATATTAGAAATTGTATTAGAAATTTCCTTTTTTGATAATAAAACTAATGTATGATAATACGATGATTTTCTTGTTTTTTATTGATGAACATTTTGAATGTAAAAAATAGATTATCGCGAGGTGCAGTATTGGCCCTCAGTGGCGGTGTGAGTAGTTAGACAACAGACACGCAGTGTTGACGGAACAATGTGAAAAAACATTCATCAGGACAAATAAACACGGTATCAGTTCGATTATTATTATCGAAAAGGATCATTCTTCATTTTTAAACATGCAGAAGGATGAATTTGTTTGAATAACCATTAAATATGAGCGTCTATCTATTGATAACCCACACGGAGAGAAATTTTTTAGAAAAATTCTAGTACGAGTACTGGAAAAAATTACAATCCACCGGCTGTGAAAAATTCTAGTGCTAAAGTACAATTTCTTGGTATTTCTGGTAAAATTTCCGGGGATTTCTGTGAAATTTTCACCGAAATACCGGGAAAAATTCACGTTTTCCCCAATAAAATTTCTGGTGCCGGCACTGGAATTTTTCTAAAAAAATTCTCTCCGTGCACCGTCTATCTTCTGGTCAGTCGTCTATCTATAAGGTGTTTGGGCTGCATCCCACGTTTTCATTTTATCATTTATTCCTTCATTGTTTCCACTTCAAAACATTATTTTCCCATAATTCATGTATTTTTTCAGATATAGAACCCATCGTTGGCGTATTTAGGTGATTTATCAATTTTTGATCTCTTGACGGACCTCTAATTGTCCTTAACCGTCTATCTATTGGTCTGGTTACCCTAAATGCGGGGAAATATTAATTGGAATTTCTACGTGCTTTGTGTGGATGAATATTTTAGGCAGAGGTATGGTGGAGACACAGTCACCGCAATTCTATTGAAAAACTCCGCGGTTTATCGGTGCAAACACATTCTACTGAGATATTTAATATACAAATTCCTCGGCTGCAATTTTTAAAATTTTCTTGTTCAATTTTTGTAATGAAGCGAGATGATAAATGAAGTGGAAAATTTTACCATGAAATTTCTTCATGCGTGGCTATTCGCAATATTTCAATTATTTCCTAACAGAGGTCTTCGTAATTATTGCCCCAAAGGGTTTGTTCCCAAGAAATTATGTATTTGGCTCAAGAAATTAAATCGTGAGATTATTTCTCTCAATGATCGATCTCGACTCATTTTTCCATTATTAATTCTCTCATGGAATTTTTTCTCTCTGTGTATCAACGTCTATTGGATTTAATCATACTTGTGGAAACATTCACAATCCAAAGATATCCCAATGATTGTTTATTGTTTGCATCCATTCGCCCAGCGAATAATTGAAATGCGGCTCCCTCGCATATCAAATTTTGAATTGCAAACAACTGTGAATGGCGCAATGCGTGGGCATTGAATGAACATTGCTGTCTGCCCCGTTTCTCTTTCTACATTCAAATTGAAAACATTAATCAGTAAAGATGATATCTGACGCAAAAATTAATATTCAATCTCACTCATAATCTTCTCCCAACTGTTTCCATTATCCTTTCGTAACTGCACGGAGAGACAAGTTGGGTAACAATTACCTCGGGGAAAGAAAATGTATTTGATTCAAGTATATTTTGTGCTCGAATGGGGGATGGGTGTTTCAATTTGAGGATGATTATTTCGAATCAGCCCGGGGTGTGCCAAACGCTCTTTTTTTTTTTTAACCAAGTTTTTAATAAAAAAGTTTTAGAATAAAAAAAGTGGGTGTCAGGCACTCACTTTTTTTACTTTTATATTCAGACCCTAATGTTTTGACCCTAATATTCTGTCCCTCATTTTTTAACCTTCACTTTTTGACCCTTATATTTTGACGCTTAGTGCCTGACCCTTATATTACACTTGAGAGGGTTTGCTAAAACCCGGCCTGATACACTGAGAGAAAAATCCGATTCTTCTGACTATATTCCATGACCATCGAATTATAGTCAAAAAGTCCTCAACAATTTTTCATGGGTTACGGTAACTATGGCCGGAGAAGTAATTATTACAATGGAATGTAGTCACTGCAACTATTTTATAGTTCTGCTCACGATAGATTTGTCGTGGTTACTTTTGAACTTTGGTTAGTTTAACTGCATTTTGATTTGCAAAAATGATGTTATGTGCCGCATACAAAAAAAAATCGTATCGTTCACCAAAACTGCCTCAACTATTTTCTCATTGTAAATCGAACTTCAGATTTTTCTCTCAGTGTACTAAAGAATCATCTTCGAATAGAAATACTCATCCCCCAAAAATTCACTATACGGCGCAAAAAGCGCGATAAAAATTACCCTAAAAAATGAAAATTCGGTCCGGTGGGTGTACGGACAGATACGTCAGTTGCTCACTCCATCAATGACGCGAATACTGATGGCTCTCCTTCCAAAATAGCTCCATTGTCGAACGCTCCCTGTCCATCCCCATTCTGCGAATTGTCACAATCAGATGCACAAAATCGTGCAAAAAATATTTCCTCTCGAATTATTTACTAAGTATCTCTTCCAGGATTAAGACCTTAAGACAGATTATACATTTTACGTATTTGAGGGATAATTTGGCTATTCCATTTTCGTTCAGTAAAAATTTCTCCATTCATTATAAACTCAATGTATTAACAAATGTATTAACAATTATGTATCTAAATGTATTAACAATTTAAGAATTTTTATACATAAAATTTGTTTGAAGTCTAAACAATGATTGTAGCCCCAACTAATGAAGTCTTTAGTTCAATCGGGAAAACATTTCTTCATATTTTTTAAAAATTATTAGTTATTAACACAGATATTATCCATAACTATTTTCTTCATTTATCTAATTATTTCTTATTAATAATGATGATAATAGCAACAACAGCAGTAAGAATAATAATCATAGAAGTAAAACTGAAAATTCCAATCGATAAACTGATGAATAAATTTTTTTTTATAATAAAATTTTTGGAATTGGAATTGTGCCCCATTTTAACGTGTTTAACAATTTTTGATAATTTCTCACACTGAATATTCTCAAGAGACATTTCTGGCTATTCGGCCTTTCTAAATAGCCTCAAGTATCTCTTCCGGGATTAATCTCCCCTTAAGACGGAAATAAACGTTGCGTAATTGAGGAATAAGTTCGCTATTTCATTTCCCATTATTAAAAATTTCTCTATTCATTTCAAACACATTTTTGGTGGCTTTGATAAACTCATAAATTTATTAACAATTCAAGAATGTTTATACATAAAATTTGTTTGAAGTCTAAACAATGATTGTAGCCCCAACTAATGAAGTCTTTAGCTTAATCGGGAAAACATTTGTTCATATTTTTAAAAAATTATTAATTCTTAACACAGATATTATCCATAACTATTTTCCTCATTTATCTCATTGTTTCTTTTCAATAATAACGATGATAATAGCAACAACAGCAGCACTAATAATAATCATCATAGAATTAAAATAAAAAATTCCAATTAATAAAGTGATGAATACATTTTTTTTAAATAAAATTTTTGGAATTGGAATTGTGTCACGTTCTTGGCAATTTTTGAAAATTCTGTCACTGAATATTTTTAAGAGTCATTTCTGGCGATTCGTCCCTTCTAAATTTTCTCAATCACCGATTTTCCCTCGGCCAGAATCCAAAGAACACTTGAGGAATTGATGAGCATTTTAGCGTGCCGGAAAAAGGAGAGTTTTAAGAAGAGTGAGAAATTCGCAAGAGCACGAGGGACAGAATGCTGAGTTCTAATTGGCGGAAAAGATCGGTCAGACGGGGGAGGGAATATATTGAATGCGCAAGGGAGAAATGTAGGAGTGCGGTGGCCTCGTCTCTCAGCGGTTGCATACCAGTCCAACTGGTAGCGCGATACCAGTCGCGAACAGTTGCGGCGCGGCTTTCAAAGCGGTCGCAAGCTCTAGTTCTAGCTCCCATGTGCACCTCCGCATGAGCGCGGCACATGTTTTTTTTAAGAGTCGGTGAGGTTGTTGTTTGTTGGGAACACAGAAGTGAGGAGAGACAGTATTTTTCAATTGATGACTTGTTGGAGATGATTACGGCGGCGATCGACACGCGCACGAAGTCATGTTCATTATGGTGAGTCCCGAATTTATTCGACTTTTTGTGACTGATGATGACACATCCGAATCGAATAGAATTGCTGGCTCGAAATTTTTTCAGTGATTTGAACAAAATTTTTTGGAGATCGAGCAACTTTTATGTTTATTTCGATGACAATGTTTAAAACAATGACAATGTTTTGATTTTTTGAAATGAATGCTTTGAATTCGTAGCCTCAATAATGATTTAATTTCTAACCAATGAAGGGTTTAGTTGGATCGGGAAAATATTTATTTGAGTTAATAAACCTATTAAGTTGATGTGAATGAAAATGCTAATAAAAATCACGTTTAGATGTGAACGAAATATTTATTAGGAGCTGAGGAGAATTATTTACCTGATTCAAATAAAGTTTATCAAATGCAAAGACTTTTATGTTGATTTCGATGCAAATTTTTTGATCATTTTAAATGAACGCTCTAGACTTGTTGTCTAAACAATTATTAAATTTCTAGCTCATGAAGGCTTTCATTGAATTGGGAAAACTTGTTTATGTCAGAAAACATAATTAACTTGATTAATTTGATGTGAATGAAAATGCTAATAAAAACGCGTTCAAATATGAATGAATGATTTATTAAGAGTTGGGTAGAATTATCCATTTGATTAAAATAAAGTTTCTCAAATTCAAAGACTTTTTTGTTAATTTGAATGAAAATTTTTTGATGATTTTAAATGAACGCTCTAGATTCGTTGTCTAAACAATTATTTAATTTATAACTCATGAAGTCTTTAGTTGGATGGGGAAAACATTCGTTCACGTTAAAAAACCAAAACCTATTAATTTGATGTGAATGAAAATGCAAATAAAAATCACAATTAGTTTTGAATAAAAAGTTCACGAAGAGCTGAGTAGAATCATTTATTTGATTCAAACAAAGTTTATCTGATTGAATAAATCATTAAATGGATAAACTTTCATGTTTATTTCAATGAAAATATTTTAATTACACAGAATGAATGATTTATTTTATTTTCATCAAAAAATGAACTCATTATGATGAAATAAATCACGTTATTACCGATCTCTAATTAATAGAATCTGCATTTGGAGCAAGAGGATTTTCGTTTGCATAAAAAAATTGTCATGAAAATAACTAAATAAATCAATCAATAAAAATGCAAATGGAAATTATGTTTAATTTTTATGAAAAGCTTTATTACAAGCTATTAGAATGAAATTATTCAACACACTTGAATTAACTTCATTAAATTTGAATATGCTATTCTCCTGGGAGATAAGTCTATTATTATGAAGATGAGTTTCCAGAGATAAACATTTTTTACACCAAGAGAGATGACAGAAATTTTTGTACAACCAAGCGAAATTTAAAAAGACATCCTGAGGACAATTCCGCTGTCTCCCCTAGATTTAGAGATATTTATCTCTGAAAAATTCACCCTCAAGTTGAGTTGAATTGCCCTGTTTTTCCACTCCAGAGTAAAATCCTATTCTGTTTCTATCCATTTTTTTTTATTTTTGCGATTGTTTGTATGAAATCGTGACAAAGTAGACGAGACCCGCAGCTTTCGTTGGTTTTCTGTGAAAATGTTTTGACATGAAAGTATTCTCTAATGGAAAAATTGCAGTTGCAACACGAGCTCGTGTTTTTGTTTCGTATTGTGCTTTATATTTGAAGCCAACAATTGCTCGTCAATGGTATGAAGCCTCTCATCTGCTCGGTGTTCTGGCCTGTCCACGCGTACGTTCGATTTGGGGAGTCGGGCACTGTTGGCTTTTCAGTGAGAATTTTTATACACTGGTACACTGACGGAAAAAAATAATTTTATCAAGAGAATTTTATTTGAACCAACTATCATTTGGTTGTTAATTTTCAAATGAACATGAGTTCATAGTGAATACCAGTTATCTCTTCTTGAGATACATTTGATTGGGAGAAATTGAACGTCTCTAGAATTGAAGTTCCTTTTTTTTGTCGCAATAATGAGAGTATTTGATTTCTTTCTAGCCAAAAGTTTGCCAACTCCAGAAATTCGTTGGTTTACTCAAAAATCAAAATTATTCTCATGACTAAATACGTTGTTATCTTAATCAACACGATCATACGTTGTTCCAAGTAAATTATAATTGAAGTGAGCATTTCGTATGTCGAATCAGGATGAATATTGTTACGCGGAAAAAGCTTTGAGATTGTAGTAAGATGTCGTTGAGTTGAAAGAAGTTTATATTTATTGACTAAAAAAATCGCATTAGTTTACAATAACAGAATCACAGATTACGGCAATTCAACACAAACTTTGATATCACAAATTTCGTTCAATGTGATGTACGGAAAGCTCAATTTAAACATCGGCTTCATTCGAGAAAACAACATTCAATTTATTCCTCAATGTAATCATCTCTCAGGTTCGAATTTTTGATCAATTCATGAAATTAGAAAATTTCTGGACTGGAGATTATATTAGGTTTAAAAAAATAGAACTTTTCCATTTTCGTGGTGAATACGTGTGACGACGCCAAGAACTGTTTTATTTCATTCAAGTGAATGTGTCTCAAGAAGAAATAATTGATATTCACCGTAAGATCTTATTTATTTGAAATTGGTTCAAGTAGATAATACTTGTTTCAAGAAAGAAACTTCTCAAAAAAATCATTTTTGAGATGTTGAAAATGAAGTTTCATGGACAGTTAACTAGCGACTTTCGGGAAAGTGACATTGAATTCGATTTAGGGGGAACAAGCAGGTGACAGCGAGCATGTGATAGCGATCTGTGACTGAAAATTTTGTACTTAAGAGTGTGTTTACACTGAGAAAACATTAGTTCTGTGGAAAAATGTTCCCCTGAGGAGATCTCTCGTCATGTTGAATCAATTTACTTGTGGACAAAAAGAAAGTTTCCACCACAAAAAATCATGGCAATTCAAATTTTACGTAAAATTCTGTGCAATCCAAAATTTTTCTGTAGCAGGAATATGAGAATTTGCCGAATTATTTGAATTTTCACACGAGACATGAATATTTAGCAGCAAGTAATGCAGAATTTCCAATTAAATAAAAATCCAAGAATATATTCACCTTATTTTTTTTCTGAAAACAAAAATTTTTAATAGCCAAGTTTGCAGAAAATTCAGTCAAAGATCTTCAATCTTCAATTTATTATTAATTAGAATTAATTGACTAGACGGTGATTTTTCTTGTGAAAAAAAAAGAAAATTTGGATGTTCCAGCCCAATTCACTTCTTGGTACAGGTCCGACCGGAGTTGATGTATTTTTGAGGCTTCAGAGAATGTCTGAAGGTATTTTTCGAGGACAAAATTTAATCGAAGAATCTTTATGTCTCCCCGATGGAATTTCATTTATTCAAACCATCCCATTCGTCTCTTAATTAATACAAACATTTGCTCATTTCAACATTTCACTGTTCGGAAAATACAAATATGTATTCTGGTGATGAGAAGTGAAACGCTAGCATTTTCCAGTGAATCAAACCTTCCCGAGTATTATTACTCATGATTCGTTATTTGTTTCTCATTTCGCGCTCGGATCTATGAATTTTAATTGGATCAATAGGAATCTTCGCGTAACATTAAACAAAATGTGAATATCACCTAAACTCATAGATCCTCACGCATGAAAAAATTCGGTAGAAATGCTAGCGAATTCGGTAGAAAATTCTATTGGAATTCTATAAGAATTCTGTAGGATTTCTATTGGAATTCCATTGACAAATTCTTTTTGTTTTTTGCGCTGATTCTATTAGATATTCGATAAGAAAAAGTCAATAGATATTGAATTTCTATTCGAATTTTTTTCTTGAAATTTTTCTATTAAAATTATTGGGCGCAAATTTTCAAAGTTTTTTGCGCTGGATTTTATTTTGTTTTGAATTACAGGATCCGAATGGTGTAAACCTATGGAGTTCTCTCAGATCAAATGATTGTCGTACAATAGATTATATTTTTTTCCTGCCAACAGTTCTGATGACCACGACAAAAATTGATTTTTTGTGAAAGATATTAAATTTCCTTCTATTAAGTTGGTTAATTTTCCTCACGTAAATATGTTCCACTCTATCAAATATTCTCAGGTGGAACATATAGCTTTCGACAGAGCTAATTCCTAATAAAAAACTATTGCTTTTATGTGTGTAAAAACGCAAGTGAAAATCATTCACTGAAACGGTAAAATTTCTGATAAAAACTTTCATAAAAAATTCTCCAATTTCACAATAAATTTAATTCACTTCTTCCTGTCAAGTGAAAAATCCTGAACAAAGTGAACATCAATCAAAATTTTATCCAAATAAAGAATATAACATGTTAATAAATTCGCTCATTCCGGCGTTGAACCAATAATTCAATTCCTCATTAATAAACTCTTTTATTCAACCGAGGAAATATTTTTCTATTAAAAAAAAACTATTGCTTTGATGTGTGTAAAAACGCAAGTAAAAAGCATTCACTGAAACGATAAAATTTCTGATAAAAACTTTCATAAAAAATTCTCCAATTTCACAATAAATTTAATTCACTTCTTCCTCTCAAGTGAAAAATCCTGAATAAAGTGAACATCAAGCAAAATTTTATCCAAATAAAGAATATAACACGTTAATACATTCGTTCACTCCGTCGTTGAAACAATAATTCAATTCCTCATTAATAAACTCTTTTATTCAACCGAGGGAATATTTTTTTATTAAAAAAAAACTATTGCTTTGATGTGTGTAAAATCGCAAGTAAAAATAATTCACTGAAACGATAAAATTTCGGATAAAAACTTTCATAAAAAATTCTCCAATTTCACAATAAATTTCATTGACTGCCCCCTCTCGACTGAGAAATCCTCAATGAAGTGAACATCAATCAAGCGATTATTCTCAAGAGTACTCCCACCGCCGTGTGCCGTAGAATGATAATCAAGTGCTCGAATCCTCGAATTAAATCAGTACATCCCACCCCGACTTCCGTCTTTTAAAATGCATTAATATGCAGCTCTGTCTCGAAGTGCACTTG